TTTCTTTCTTGAAGCTGAATATTTTCCCATACAGCACATAGTGCAACATTTTGTGAATCCATTCTATTGTGGAGAGATGCTCAGGCTCATTCACTAGCAAGTTTCTCATGTCTGAGGCTGCCGTGAAGTGGGAATTCAGAGCTCTCTTTGACATACTGATTTCTTCTCTTTTGGCTGTGCATTCAGAAGTGGAATTACTAGATCACATGCTAGTTCCATTTTTAATCTTCATAAAAATTTGTTTTCCTGAAGACTATACTAAGCTTCATGCCAGCAACATTGTTCAAGGGCACCATTTTCTGCATGACCCCACCAACGCCTGTTATTTGTTTGCTAAGAGCCAGTCCAACAGCTGTGAGGTGAAATCCTTACTTGTTACAACTGGTAGGTGATTTGGTCCAGGTGATTAAGAATAAAATTATTTTGTGTTTAAGAAATTTACTTGTCAGTATGGAGAGCCACACACTCACTGAACGTGTCTGGTCTTAGTAGGAGCCACTGACGTGGTCCCCACCAACCATGCAGCCACTCTCTCTTTGCACCCACGTACCATCGAGATGGACACATCAGCCTTCGTGAGATTGCAAGGCTGCTTCCACGTGGGGAGCACTGGGGAGTTGGAAATTGCAACCTGTGCTCAGCTGGAAGCTTCCCTGTGGATTTACCCTGTGGCAACATGTCCCTTTATTAGCTTGGCTCCACCCTGAGAGACTCTCGGTCAATCTGAGATAACAATGACAAGAGGCTTAGATCTTTTGGGGGCTTCTGGTTTAGAACTTGGAGGATTTACATGTGCAGCATCTTCTGTGTGTGGAGGGAGAGTGACATAGACCCCCAAGATATAATGAGTAAAACTAGAAGAACAATGAAGAATAATGACAGGTGCCTGGAAGGGGATGAACAGGGCATGCCTCTGGTGGGGAACTCCTGGAAGGCCCTTCAAAAAGACTTACCGAATAATTGAATCAATCCATCATGCTTGGGCAACAGCATCAGCATGCAGTCTTTTCTGGGAGTTGTTTTATTCCGTTCCTGTTATGGTTGAAATTCACAGGAGGATGGAATGAGCAGCTAACAAATATATTTGTTATAAAGTTGCCATATTCTTAAAATAATCTCATAACAGAAGAGGTTTATGTTAATTTTAATAATTATAAAGACTGTGTAAGAGCACCAACATGTGGTTTGTAGAATAATTTTTCCTCTCTAAATTGATGTTGTAGTTATCGCCTGCGTTACCTGTCAAAATTTTAATCTTCCTTTTCCTAAGCTACAGAATGTTTACATTTTCTTTAAAAAATGACCTCCACTGTTGTCCTTGAGAAATAAAAATACCCGTCTGTATTTGGTTTAGGAAGACCTCTCACCTCTATTTTCTCGCTGTGGTCACTAACCATCATTACCCATAATGTCCATGCAAATCTCACCAGTGCTATAAATCTGATCCTTCAAAGTGCTACTTAGTTAAATGTTTATGGAATTAAAAGGCATAGAATAAGAACATAGATATTTATTTTAGAGATTTTTTCCCTCATACCTACTGAAAGTGATTACTTCAGTGTACTAATGTGTTCTAAGCTGGACATAACATTGATCATAGATTTTGCTCTTCTCTTTCTTGAAAGTGTGTGGAAGGTAGTATAACAAAATAAAAAGTGGATTAGAGCCTGTGTAAGGCTTGATATATGATGACAATAATTGAGGCTGTCTTTTTCTCAATGTAAAATGTTGATAGCAAAAGTTTCTGAGTGTAGGTAATGAGCGCTGAAATTCTATTGAAGACCATCAAATGTCCAAAGGAAGATGTTTGGGATGATATAGGAAGAGCCGAAGGTCTACTGCGTAAGCAATCTTAATCTCTCTAATAATACATGTACTGCAAAAGAAATGATGGAAAATCTTCCAATTCTGAAATGAACAAAGCTGACTGAGCCAGGCACAGGAACGTGCGGCGCAAACTTGTTCACGTGTGGGGGTGGGTTGTAGGTTTTTAAAGGAAGCCTATAAGCATGTTGGAACACAGAGTCCAAAGCACAGTAATCTAGAGGCGTGTTGTGATTTACATTAGTTTAGGATCTGTCTTCATCACAGCTCCCCTGAATTTACGAAATCTAGGGCCAGGTGATGGACTCCGCAACTTGGTATGTTCCATTCTGACCAGAGAGCACACGAGGAACTGCCGTGGCTTTGGGACGGATTTGGTTTCCAGGACATGCCTTCGCCCTGCGTGACTTCCTAATCTTTGGGTCTTAGTTTCCTGCATGTATAATGACTGGATTTGGATCTCAAAGTTTTATTCTGGATGTGACCTGTTTAAAATAGATTTGTGTTTCTGAATTAAGTGATCCACTCGCTGTGTCACTGTCGAGTGTGGCTATATGCTTCTTGGTGTGAGATGTTTTTTCATACTTATCAACTGAAAAGCAGTTTCTGCTATTATTTATATTTACCAAACCCCACAAGCTACTCTACTGAGACACAGTTTCTTTAGGAGACAGAGCTGTCTTTTAACCTTCTACTTTTGTCTTTTTCTATGTAGCTGAGATGCTAGGTGACTTTGGCAGGTGAGGGGGTGTCCTGGCTCCTCCCCACCCTGGCTTCCACAGCACAGTGGGGCACACCTTGCACCCAGAGACTGGGGTACGAGCAGCCCTTTGCTGTCCGAGATGTCAGGCTGCACGTTCACCTCAGCCTTGTGTTCTGCCTCCACACCTCCCTTGCTGAGTTGGCCCCTCAGTCATCTTGGGCTGGGGAGATCTGCAAGTGCTAGGGGGCGCTCACCCCTCTGCAGCAGCCCAATCCGGAGCAGCCCCCGGTGGTTGCTCCCCCCGTGTGGCCTTGCTGACCTCAGGTGAGGAGAGGGCTCCTTTTCCCTTTGCCTCTGCTGCTCCGAAATGCTTCATTAGAGTTACGTGGTGCTAGGGTGAAGTCAGTATTCCAATGGCAACGACAGCACTAGGAAGTATGACCCAAGGGGAAATCTGTGAGCATTTTAAGTTAGTTATTTTATTGTAGTGAAAATATTTGCTATTAAAAAATTGAAAAACTCTGCTTAGACATTAACCAAGGGTTCTGAGAATGCTTCCTAACATCTTTGTCAACTCTTAGCTTCGTGCTACCTCTCAGTTCTAGAAGAAAGTGAACAAAGGAGAGTGAACCTGGGCTGGTGATTGCTAGATGAAGCCAGCATCTGTGGGGCGACTGTACAAGTGGGTGCGGGCCCTGGGACCGCTGGGCAGCTTCTTTCTGCTGCTGTCACATCCTGCCCTGCCCAGCTCCAGCATCCTCCTCAGTGTCATGAGTTCTCCTGTCAACAGCATGATCACGTACAGTGGGAAGTGGCGGGCGGTTTCAGGGATGGCTAGGAAACTGAGTTGTTTTTCCATTTATTTTTAAAATGCAAATTACACTAGTAAGTCAAAAAAATCACTCTGTTAAAAATACATTCAGAATTAACAAATGCAAAAAAAAGACACATCAGGATTGTAACTCTTGCCTTCTGAATATTAGGTTTATAACAAAAGCTCAGCCTAGAAAAATAGCATTCTTCACCAGATTGTGAGGAGGATACAGCTGTACAACTTAGATGTTTTCCCAGATAGAATCCCACTACTGTGCTTAGCGCTCCTACTAAAGGCCTGTCCACTGATTACTTGTTAGTAGTCAACAACTGTTTTTGAAAAGTTTGTTGGTGATGAAAGTGGTGATTTGGTGGTGGTTGGCTGCAACATAAAGCAGGGTGAGGAGGGCTTATTTTCTGTATCCATACACATGTACCAAAGGTGGGTCGCATGACAGTGTATACGCGGTGAAACCTCATGTCAGAGTCACGTTAGTAGTCACAGTAGAAGAGTTTCCGGTATGTATAGTATGTGTATCTTAGGAATGAAAGGAAAAGACATTGGTAATTATTTTTTCATATATGAAACATGCATGTCACTAGAAAGCATCGAATGAGGCTTCACTGACGTCACACTTCTGTATCTTATACATGTCTGTATGGACAAAAATATACAAGCCACTGAGCAAATTCAAGCATGAGTGCTAGAATCTTTTTCTTTTGTGGTTTATGTTTCAGTGGAAACATTTCTCCTTTATTGTCTTTGAGTCTGTGTGTGTGTATGTGTGTGTGTGTATTATAAACATCCATGCAAACACAGATATGGGACTGCTATATGAGATTTGAATGGTCCAAGTCCAAAGGAGGTTAACCCAACAACCGAAACTTCACAGAAACCAAAAGAAAACATTGCTCCATGCCAATTTATAGCTATCCCAGTCTGAATTTCACTACACTTAAGTATGGTGTGAAGTTAGCCGAAACAAAAATTGGTTTTAGTGGTCTCCAAGAAAAAAATAGGACTCATCTGAGTTACTGATCAGCCTAAGCTAATTATGTTTTTCACTAATGAAAACCAAATAATGCTTGAAATTATAGAGCAAAATTTCCTAGGAGTTCAGAATATGCCATAAACACATTGACCTACTATTAAGTTTCCAAAGGCATCTTGTTGCCAACTACGTCAACAGCACAGTTTTTTTTTTTCTGCCACAATAATACAGGAGAATTGAAATACACTCTAACACACAACAGATCCCCCAAATACCACAAAGAGATCTCAGATATTTCACCAAGTTCACTATGGCTCCCCACCCACCCACCCCAAAAATAATTTCATACACCAAAGTTAGAAAAGAAAGTTCACCTACATTGGGTCTTCAGTTTGAATTAGATATAAAAGAGTAAACATAGCTAACACATAGTCAGCTGGCCTCTGCTCATAGGAACCCGCAGCTGTCCTCTGTGTTAGGAAAAGACATCTGTAGATACTTATAAAAGCACCTAGCGTGCAATAAATGAAATTAGTGACTGAAGCCGTTTCTGCTTCCAGTAGATTAATGAGTATAGTAGATTAATAAATTTCACTTTGCCCCACCCCAACCCCATGAGAAGACCATATTTAAGGAGTATAAAGATGACGATTATTGTTGTTGTCATTGGTTCTTGTCTCTGTGGCCACCCGGAAGCTCTGTGATGAAGCATGTGACTGACCGCCGGCAGTTTCCTTAGTGGATACGGGAGCGGCTTAGCCAGTCAGTCTCCTTCCTGGCTGTGAAACACACATGGGAGCTCACTTGGATCAAATAGCAGTGTGTTAGCCTAAGAAAGTGGCTCGGGGGTCTGCACACAACATAGGTGGGTTAAGGCAAGTGTGGGCGGTACAGCCTTTGGAGCCAACAACCTGCCATTGTGTCGGGTACAGGGTCTTGCTGTTTGCTTTTGTAATTACATTGCCTAAGTAGCCATGGTGCTATGGGGATCCTCAGAGTGCAGAAACACGGCTCTCCAGGGAATGAGCCCTGGATGATGTCCCAGTCCACAGAGGCTGACAGCTGGGCTGTGGAGGAGTGAGGAGGGCCAGACGAGGACCCTGGTTCATCTCCTTTGCAACTTTCAAAGGCCTGGGAGAAAGGAGCCTGCTTTCAGGGAATCCAGGATGAGTGTGACTTCCATGTTGGTCTGGAGTGGAAGTGTTGTGTTGCTTGTTATGTGTGCATGAGTGTGTGTGTGTGTGTGTGTGTGTGTGTGCGCGTGTGTATGTAGAAACCATGTGTGTGTTCTTGTCATATGTATCTATATTAAAATTCACTTGCTTCTTGCTTTTGTAAAATGCAGGAGGCTCCTGTGGAGCAAGTTCTTTGAGAGGTCCGTGGGCTGATGCACTGAAGTCCTCTGTTTTATTTTGACCTAAGAGAGAAAAGATGGTTTTAATCACAGGGGAGGGCGCTCTGTGCCTGTTGCTTTTCACCCCTTTTCCAGCTTTCTAAGCACAAGAGCAAACAAAAAAGAAAAAAGAGAAAGAGGGTTAAACCCGAGTTGGGTTTTAACTAGACAATTTTTCACTCCTTTTCTTTTTTCTCAGTGCGTCAGCCTGGATACCAAGGCCACACATGGTTCCTCAGGATCTAGCTCCAGGGATGAGTGAGATGAGTATGTATTGCTGGGCAGTTAGGCTGCAAGAAAGACTGCGATGTTTTCACGCACGCTCTCATACGCCATAGGATGTGCTCACCAGCAGGGAGTGTGAACAGGTTTATATGTGCTTTGGCGCATAAACTAGTGGTCATCAAGCCACCAAGCTGTTACTTTGTTAGAAAATTAACCTGTTGACCCAGGAATTTTCTGTGCTGTAACTTGGTAGCTATCTACTTGTTTCAAAGAGATTTACCAAAAAGTGTGGAAAAGAGAAACAATGGTAACATTGCCTTTCTATCTGGATGATAGATAAGTTGAAAAATCACAAACCAAGAACATTTGCCAAACTTAACTAGAAATAAATAAGACTCGCTTTTGTTCGCTACAAGCGCTGGGCACGGCTGTGACTGCAGGCTGGTGCCCGAAGCAGTTTCACAGTCTGTCAGGCTGCTGGCTGCAGGAGCTCGCTGCACAGAGAGGAAGTCTCACAGCCACAGGTGCACACTGCCTTTCGGGTTTGCTTTCTCGCAAAAGAACAGCTTTTATTTCTAGTTGCTCTATAATATTTATAGGTTCTTGAACTGGCCCATGATGGTAAATTACTCTTACTTTACAAGACATATTTATGGCAGGTTGACAGGAGAGGGGACATTTCAAATGACAAAGACAGAGCGATGCTCAGGGCAGCACCTCTGAGCAGGAATTGAGGGCTGGTGGTGACTTTTGATTTTTCACAAGGTTTGAGTAGGCAGTGGCTCTCAGAGGATGGGTTTTGAGGGTCACAAAATTGAAAAGGCCTTTTATGCAGTATTCTGGGGGCACAGTCAAAAGGGGCCGAAAGGAATGTGCAAAAGGGGGCCCACCGTGAGCGACCAGGCAGGCAAATTAGCAGAAGGTGCGTCACAGGGAAGATGAAGCTCCTGAGTACAGTGCCCGGTGGAATGCACAGCCCACCTGGGGATGCTGCAAAGAGTGAACTGAAGGCTCAGGAAAAAGGGGGACAATCTCATCTGTTCACTAACAAGTTGCTCAACTACTGTTTTTCTTTTTTTGACTCAATTCTTTTGTAAAACCAAATGTAAGTGTGCTAGTTACTGGGGAAGCTTAACAGGTGCTTGGTGGAAGAGATGACAGTGGAATATTGACTAGTAAACTGTTGATGTAGTTGAGCTATCCCTGGTTTTCAAGATTTGATTCTTATTAAACATTTAACTTCTTTTATGAGCAAAGAAGCTTGAAGGGATATATATATATATATAATTTTTTTTTTCATTTTCAGATATAACAGAGGAAAAACATTACTGTTATGTGGCATTCAAAGTATTCATTTAATAGTATCAGAGGAAGTTTTGTGCTCAGGGAATTTAATTTTTGACAAAATTTACATAATTTTGAGTAGCCCTTGTTTAAAGACAAATATTAGAATTATAATATTTTGATTTGAAACAGCAGATGTGATTATGCATAATTAGCATCCTCTTGTTATATCACAGCTGATGACTAGATGAATGGTTGCATCTAATTCATTGGCCCTTGATCATAGTTATTGACCAATTCAATGAAATATTATACGGTGCTGTCAGGGCCAAGTAAGTGCAAACTTTGCAGATGCTTTCATCTACTCCTGAGCTTCAGATGTCATATGTATGCATTACACAACTTATTCTGTTTATAGGAGAGTTTTTTGAATAAAATATAGTATTTTTTGATTACTGACTTAATAAAGACCTTTCATAAATAATATTGGTTAACATAAGAATTATTGCTACTGCTAATAATTTATGTGTAATAACTACTTACTATGTGACATGTCCTGTGTTTTACATACTTCACATTAACTATAAATAGTTACAGAATAATTAGATGAAGTATGTATATGATCACCTCTGTTTTGCAGGTGGGACTTGGTCAGATTAAAGTTATTCAAAGTTATATGCCCAAGCTTGTAAAGAATTTAGTCCCAGGCAGTTTGTCTTCAACAGATCATTTTATGGGTATTTCTGATTACTTTGTCTTTTCGGAGTAGAATGCTGTATAGAGAGCTACAATAAAACAAAGAGAGAAATGTTGAAGAATTTATAGGAAATTTCCCTTTACTTTTTCGTGGTAGCTATGAAATCTTTCTGAGCAGTTAAGAAAGTTATGGTAACTGTAGGAAAAAATTACAGTTTCTGACACAAGAAAAAGAATCATTAGAGGAAGAAGGGATTAATAAGTGTTTCATACAGGAATTATATTTTAAGGTTACATTTGAAAAATAGTGGTGCTGTGAAGAGTGGAGTTTAGGAAAAAATTAAGGTCAATTATCAAGAATTCAACATAGAGAATTTGAAAAAAAAATATGAGAAGACAAGTGTTCTAGTGCAGCTGAGAAAAAACAGCTAGGGATAGATACTGTATTACTTATGCCTGGGCAGATTAGAAAGTTTAGGAGGAAAGGGCCAGTTCTTACTGGCCAGTTCTTACTCAGTATTGGGACTCAAAAGGTATTAAAGATCTAAAAGAAGAGGGGCTGGGGAGATAGCTCAGTAGAATAAGTGCTTGCCTGGCAAGCACAGGGGCTTAAGTTCAATCCCTGGTTTCGCCAAACAAAACAAACAAAAAATGAAAGAAGAGATAATAGGTCAATGTGATAACATTGAAGCCAGATTAAGGTAAACTTTTAGGCTCTAATGAGTTTTGACTTTTCTTAGCAGGTAATAGGGAGTCATCGATTGCTTAAGGGGCTGGGAATTGAATAAGAAGTTTCAATTCCAATTCGAATGACTGTATTGTAGTAATATTTTAGGAAGATTAATTTGGCAGCTACGTGGAGGATGGGACAGAAGTTGTGAAATAAGAAACAGGAAAACTTCACAGATCACGGATGCTTGAATTAGGGCAGTGACTGCGGGCATCAAAAAGAAAAGGTGTGTGACACAGAGGCACCGATTTGAGTATGACACACGGATCTGGTTGATGTCTAGAGTGACAAGGCCTTTGCTGTAAGTGGGCTTAGGGAGTGTGTGCAGAGAACTCCAAGGGGCCAAAGGAGACAGCAGGCACAGTGCGAGCAGCACTCTTTCTTTAAAAGAAGGTGAAGCTGAGTGTCCAAACATTGCTTTGATTTTTGGAGGAGACTACTCCCTAGACACAACTACCACCCTGCATGCTAGAGATATTTACAGGAGATGGATTCATGGTGGAGGACGGCAACAACAAACACATATCTTCAAAGAGAAGTTCACATGTTAAAAGGAATTGGAATCTTACTTTCTATTTTGATCTTCGCTTGCAATTCAGCATATCACTTGATGCTGATAGATAGAATGTGTTATCAGTTGTTATCCAAGGGAATTTGCCTAAACACAGATATAAAAATCAGGCTCCGATTGCATGTCTGCTCCCTGGAGTGCTACTGTTAAGGGGTCAACCAGTTTCAGTGTTAATGCTCCGGTCATTCTCACTCTTACATTAGAAAAATGATAGAGAAAGAGTATTGCCCAGTTTTTGCTTTTTGGACACTGCACATAACTAAGGCGAACTGTCGTTTATCATCTAGATGAGAATGCTTTTGAGATAATAAGAAGAGTGCATACGAATCACACCAAGGCAACCATTATGCACTGGGGCTATGCTGGGAAAACCGGAAAAATCTGGCTTAAGTAGAGTTACATACCATTGCTTGTAATGCTATTAGCATTACAAAATATACAATTTGGGGGTGATTTCAAGAACTGGTATATAATAGGATTTTGAGCCATGCAGGTGATATATAGATAAGATTAAAGGTAACTTAGGACTCAGTATTTATGATGAAGCAAATTTAAAAAATGAAAATGCTATTGGAATTATCCCAGTGAAAATAATCTTAGTAGTAGATAAAGTACTGCAAATATGCAACCAAAAGAGAGCCTCTTGCCACGCCTTTGGTGCCACGGCCCCTCCCTGCACCCCTCCCAGCTTCCTGAGCCCCCCTCCGTGGCATGGTACTTACATGTACATTGGCTGCAGCTGTAAGTGTGATGTCTTCTGAGGCCCTTGGTAGCCATAGGAGTCAAAGCCACCTATGAAGTCAACTGAAAAGGGACAATGGCTTCAGTAGTTACCTTGTTAGAGGACATTTCCATTCATGAACAAGGACCACACCCATGATTGATAATTCACTAAATTACAATTGACTATGAAGACAAAATTACAAAGTTATGTTTCTTTAAGGTAGTGTCCCCCACTGTGAGAGTCAGTGATTGATTTACACGGCTCTGTCCGCTCTGGAAAAGAAAGGACGGGCTTTTGTCTCAAACAACCAAGACCTACATGGAGTCGCAACATTTACTTGCACATTCAAAATGCTGATGACCATTTGGTTAATGTGAGGATGTTTTGTCGCACATTTCAGATACCGCAGCATGACAGAATGGTTACTCTGGTGCATGCACCTATTAGCAACTGCAGCACCAGTGATAATGTTATATATTCGGACTGTATGAGGAGCTATGATGAACGCGTGTGAATTAATTCAACATGGCTCTCTCCGCTGTCCTGTATGTTATAATCAGAAACCATCAAAGGTACAGATATGGAGTGAGGTCCAACCAGATATTCAAATTCAGGTGCTACTGTGGCAGATGACATTTTCCAAAATAGTGGCATCCATAGCTCCTGTCCTGCCTGTCCTCACAAGCTGGCTGTGGCCCTCCTCCTTCCAAGGTTTGAGCTTCCATCCTTTCCTTGTGAACCTGTGTAGACTATTGCAGCACATTTGAGAATGGAAGAAGTGACACTATCCGGCTTCCTTGGGCTGGCTCATGAGCGTACCATGTCCTACCTCTTGCTATCTCGTGATGGCATCTCTTAGAACTCAGCCCCCAAGCCCACGTTAGCCTACATGGGGAGACCAGTGGGGACACATGAATACATGTTTCAGGAGACAAGGTAGTTGGGGTACGAGGCCATGGACGGAATCCACATCCAGGTTGTGAGTGAAGGTTCATTTATTCTGGATCTCTCATTTTTGAGTCAACTCTGTCTTGGATCTTTCCTGTCCAGGTCCCTGGCATCGGGGAGCAGAGACAAGCCATCCTCATGGTGCTCTCGGCAGCTGTGTGCTTAGCGTATGGTTGCTTTACATTACTATGTTTGGGCAGAAGTAGTAACTAAGAATGAATACTAATAATGCTCTGAAAAATTGTTTTGTTCTTTTCAAGTCTGGATGTAGAAATGTGTGTAGGGGGAGGGTAAAAGGCAAGACAACAAAAGGCCAAGAGAACACATTACAGATGAGATAAGGATAGTAATAGAGATGAGGGAGGATGCACTAGGACATCATTCCTTCTTCTGGTACCCTGATCTGTTGGGTCCACTTGCCCCTCCCCGTTCTGCTGTCCATGTCCCGGGGTGCTTCAGAGGGCAGCTGAAGGAGTGCACATACCTCAGCTCATGATGTCGGAGCGGTGGGAAACACCTCCATTAAAACATCATCTTGAAGAGCAATTTTAGGTTCATGGTAAAATTTAGGAAAAGTTTAAAGAACATTCTCATGTGCCCTGTGCCCTACACATGCGCAGCACCTTTCACTGTCAGTGTCCCCACCAGAGTGCACTCGGCTTGCCACTGATGGACCGACTAACCCGTCCTTATCTCCTGAAAACCGCAGTTTACATTAACATGTGCTCTTGCTGCTGTGGGTTCTATTAGTCTTGACAAATCTGTGACACACATCCACCCCCACAGGTTCAAAGCAGATTCACTGCCTTCAAGTCCTCATGTTTCATGCAAGTATGAAGGCTTCTGGCTCTCCGGCCTGGTGGCCAAGGATCTGTCATTGTGTCCACAGTTTTAACAGCTACTAAAACACTGTATAGTGTGAATCCCTTTAGGCAGCCTTTTCTGACGAGAGGCTTCCTTCACTCAGTAATATCCATCTAACTCTTCTCCCTGCCTTTTAGTGACATGATAGTGGGTTTAGAGGTATAAAAAGTAAAGACATATTAATATGCTGAGCTGTAAAAAGCTCAAGTCAACAACTTCTAATATTGCCAGTCCTACGGATAACCTACTACTATTATGGACTACTGGACTGTATTGGGTTATTTTGCTGAATTCACATACCTACAATATTTAAATGGCAATGGAAAACCCTTCTCTGACAAGACTAAACAAAAAAGGGGATAAAAATGAGGATCATTTTATATCCGTATATACAAAATAGTTAGGATTGATATACAGCTACTTTATCTTAATTCAATGAGAAGAAAGATTTGTACTGACAGCGTTTGGACAGGATATCATGTCTGCATCTTGTACTATGAATAGCCACTATGAAGACAACAATATGCAATGTATTATTTGTTGTAACTGTTCTAATAATTGGTTTTGAAACTGTCTCATTTCTATTTGTTTCTCAATAACATTAGTAAAAAATGATAGGGGGTTTATTCTTGGCATGGGAGTTTTATTTTCTGAGGCAGAATCTCTCTCCTTATCAAAAGTAGAATGGATAATGAAGAAGAAGCATTGGCTGTGGTCTTAGGAGGACCAGGAACCCACATACAGCATTTTATGGAGGAAGAATAAAAATACAGAAGATGTTTTAGTTTTCTGAGTTACCCAGATTTGCTCCTGAGCTGAGATAGGCTGCAGCAGGGCTGTATAATTAAATGACAATCATAGTCAAGGCTTGTACTTTGGGAAAAGGTTGCCTAAGACCAGGGATCCGCTGTCTGCGTCCTCTTTTGTAACGGGCGGGGCCCTGCCAAGGTGAGAAATAAGAACACATTTCCCAGGGCGCCCTCGCAGGGATGCAGCCTCCCGCTCCGCAGCTCTCGTTCAGCGCTGCGGTTTCTTCCACTGCGCTGGAAAATGCATGGGCGGAGTAGCCCGAGAGCAGGGCAGAAACAAGCAGTGAGTGAGGCTTCCCGCACTGCCGTGGAGATAGACGCCGGCTTCTTAGTGTCTCCTACAGTCTACTTGAAATGCACGCCTGAGTTCACAGCCTAAGACGTCATGCAGGGTCAATTTACACGAGCAGTTGTTCGCAGTAATTGCTCGTGTGCCTCTCTGAATGACCCAAGCGATAGGACCGCAGGGTCCAGTGGACCTCCGCAGCCAACCGTCAGGTGGTGAGCAAAGGCGCACTTGATTCCGCTCACCTTTTGCAGGGGGGCTTTCAATCACCCAGGGAAACACTGGGACACTACCCTGTGGAGAGCGGAAGCAGAGACAACCAGTTCTCGCTCTGAAAAGTGGGCTCACTGGGCTTAGCTGGCACTGTGAAGAGAGCTGTAGTACTACTTAAGTCTCTTTTTAACCTCTTCTCTGATCACACTTATCCTGGCTCTCGAGAGGCTGCAGCACTCTGCAGAACCTCACTGAGGGTCACGAAACGCCTGCCAGGCCCGGGCTCCAGGAAATGCGAGACAGCTGGGTGTGTGCTTTCTAGCTCATCTCTGCATTTTTGAGAAAGACAGGACATGTTGTCAATGGAGAATCTTCCTAATTCCTGAAAATAATCACGAGTAAATCCTGCACAATTGTAAAATGGTCAGTAGCTCCTAAGTCCCTTCAGGTGAGACCATTTATCTTTACAGCAAGACTAGCATGAAGGTAGGACTCACTATCTTCCTTTTACAAATAAAAGCAGGTTTCCTGTTTGAACTAGCAGACAGCCAAGCCTGGCACTAGCAGTCGGCTGTGTTATTTCCTTTCCCAGTGTATTGGGAAGGAGATATCTGCTATTCACCTTTTCTATTACAGAAAGTTCCTACAAGGACTTGAGAGATGACTTAAGATAGAGAATTGTATTTTGCATTAAATGTAGAATTTTTAGGCTTTTGAGTTTCTATATTATACATTAAACACGAGATTTTGAGTGCTCCACTGGGTATAGGCATCTCCTTCTAAAATCTGTTCTTCAGCATCTTTGCTCTGCTCTTTGGCTTTCTTTTGGAATTGCAGGGTTTAAGTTCTAAGTGGCACGTCTGTTGGCACATCTGCAGGTGAAGAGAGCCTAGTTGTCATTGGCACAAAGCAAGCAAGTGACCTGCTTGGGTGTGGAGAGGGAGCTCTGTCCCCTCATCCAGCTTTGTTTTGCAGCATCGCACCGTGTGGCCCCCGAGACGCCACAAGCGTGCTTGCCGATTGCCTCTGTGCTGTGACATGAACTGTGAGCCATTCTGCAGTGTCTGCTCCGCAGCTCCAGAAGCCAGGACCACGCCTGGCCTGCAGCGCAAGGCCAGCACTCATTTTCTGGATGAACTCACTGTTCCCTTTAAGCTGCCAATGAAATAGGCTTTGATCAGAGCCTGGAAGAGGCTGGCAAAACTTCCGAGTGGAATCCCACTGTCTGCTGCTGTGTTTTCTTCTGTAAGACTTGGTGGTAATGAAGAGCAAAGCTTTTATACAAGAACCAGACTGTTATTTGTGGCCCGGGTCTGGTGGAATGAAAGAAATTTTGGAAAGCCGTGCAAGAAGCCACCACCACCTCCTCTTTGGCCTAGAAGTGGAAGGAAAGTGGTCATAACAGGACTTAGCACATGCAGGACCGGAGCAAGAGGTGGCTCGTGGAGGAGGCTGTCAAGCGTCACAAGTCCTGGGGATGGGAATGCTCATGGGACCTTCCACAGTGGTGTGGAAAGTGACAGAAAATTTGTATTTCTTTAACTTTTGTCTCATTGGAGGGTGTTATCTTTAGATCTCTGAAGAAAACTTGGGGCTTTTTTTTGTCTTGCTTCTTTTTTTAAAAAAAATACTATATTTGTGATACATGATAAGTATGTTCAGTGTGAGGAACTGGTATACCCACATAGTTTATGGATGGACAATTGATATACAAAGCCACTCACATTTAAAGTTTATAATTTGATGTGTTTAAACATTTGCTTGGCTACGAGGCCACAATTAAGACACTACACACATTCGTCTCCCCCAGAATGCAGCTCCGGGCTGCTATAGCTTGCGGGACTTTTGTGTGAATATTGCAGTGTTTTGTGCCAGCCTTAATTTTCCCATCTGCAATATGAGTGTATTGCTACCTAGTGCCTTAGGAAACATGGGGCGATCTAATTATTTTAAGTTACCT